GCTGCGCCTCTGCCTGCTGGCCCCGGCCCGGCCGCTGCTGCATCACGGCCGCCCCCTACCGCGGCATCTCCTGCTACCGCGGCCTCACCGGGGGCTTTGGCAGCCAGAGCGTCTGCGGGGGCTTCCGCTCTGGCTCCTGTGGCCGCAGCTTCGGATCCCGCTCGGGCGGCGTGTGCGGACCCAGCCCGCCCTGCATCACCACCGTGTCGGTCAACGAGAGCCTCCTCACGCCCCTCAACCTGGAGATCGACCCCAACGCGCAGTGCGTGAAGCACGAGGAGAAGGAGCAGATCAAGTGTCTCAACAGCAGGTTCGCCGCCTTCATCGACAAGGTGGGTGTTCTTGATCACCCTGAACCTCACCAATGCACAGGACTCAGGCTGGGCACTGGCAGAGAAGTCAGAGGCAGAAAGAGCTCAGCCTGCAGGAGCTCCCATTCCGATGAGAGACACAAACACTAACAGACACTCACACAAGACCCAGAAGGCTCAGCTGAGAGTTCAGATAGGCAGAACTTGTGGAAGAGAGGTGCGACCTGGCTGCTCTGGGGTACAAGCTAGATTTCAGGAAATCGAGGAAGAAAATTACTGCTGCTTCTGAAATCACAGAGGTTTCAACAGCCCCAGGCTGGGGAGCCTGACGCTTTCCTTGCGGGAGAGGGGAGGGAGTGGTGTTGATTGGCTAGCAGATGAAGTGGGGGAGGGGCCAGGGTAGCAGAGCTCTTCTTTAGCAGGCCTATGACATCGTCTACCTGTTACCTATCACCACAAACACCATGCTGTTCTCTGAATCTGAGAACTCTGCCTAAGAGGGCCCCTCCTCTGGCTTCAAGGTGAGGGGCTGAGCCTCTACCTGCCTCCTGACCACATGCCACCTGGATTCATCAGACTGACATAACTCAGTTCACCCATGACAGGGACTGAGCTTTCCCAACCCCTTGTTCCCATCCCTAAATAGGAAAATCCAGACATTGATCATAACCAGGAAATCTAGAAGTTGCCTTGTCTCCCACTGCCCTCCTCTGTCTCACCTATGCTGAGCTACGGCTTTCAAAGTTTACGTTAAAGCAACACCCCAAATTGGTGTTGGGGCACCAGGAGACATCTGACCCTTATTCCCCAACCTGAATGGCAGGTGCGCTTCCTGGAGCAGCAGAACAAGCTGCTGGAGACCAAGTGGCAGTTCTACCAGAACCGCAAGTGCTGTGAGAGCAACCTGGAGCCACTGTTTGAGGGCTACATCGAGACGCTGAGGCGGGAGGCCGAGTGTGTGGAGGCCGACAGCGGGAGGCTGGCCTCAGAACTCAACCACGTGCAGGAGGTGATGGAGGGCTACAAGAAGAAGTGAGTGAAGGAAGGGTTGGCTCAGCAAAGGGCTTGAAGGAAACTCCCAGCACAGGGGAGTGTCTGGGTCTCTGGCTGGGTCTCTGCCTAAGGACAGGGAAGAACCCATACTGTCTTTCCTCAAGGCTCACAGGTTTTGTGGGTGGGTCCTGGCCCCTGGGGGATGGAGCTCACCTTGCCTTCCTGCCAGCAGGTCAGAAAAAGGATGTTCTCTTCCTTTCTCCATCCACCAACTCTTCTCTTAGGACCCCAGAAAAATTAATATTCCTGGCTCATTTGAGTCTGTTCCTCAAAGCCATGTATTCTTTTTAAGTTTACTCCTTCACTCAGCTAACACTCTCTGAGTGCCTACCAGGTATCAGCCAGACACTGAACTGGGTTCTGGAGATTCAGGGGGAACCAGTAGACATAGTCCCTGTCCTTGTAGGGTTTACAGTGTGCTGGGAGGCAGGCGTGGCATAGTCACAGGCAGACCTTCAGTTACCAAGTGTGACACATGATATGAAGGGTGTACACTGGGTACTCAAAAGGAATCTGTTTTGGAAGGGTGGCCAGCTTCTTACAGTAAGGCTCTCAGCCATGGACTTCCAAGGCCACCATACCCCCTGCCTCTGGCTCTGAGCTGGCTTGCCCACAGAGCAGGAAAAAGTGGCAGGTTCGACTCTTTTTGGCTGAGCCCAGGAAGGAAATGACAGAGAGGAGATCCCACTACTTAGGACAAAGCCAGGGGCAAAAGGAAGGATCAGAGGAAAGGTAAATGTAGACCTGGGTAAGAAAACAGCCACCTCCCTTGCCCTCTCCGCCAAAAAAAACACACACATACCACACAGCTTCCACATCCCGCCCTCCCACTCCCACTGAAAAGTTCAGAGGTGAAGTGAGAGTAGGTGCTTCAGTTCTCCGGTGTATCCCACTAGCCTGGAGCAGCAGCCTAATTTCTTCCTGGTCCTGCCCCTTTTCTTTTGGAGGCAGGGGGATGAACAAGGGCAGTCTAGGAATCAGGCTTGTTTGCACACCTGCTTCGTGGCCAAGTCGAGAGTTACTCAGATGGGGTCTTTTTCTCCCTGCCAACCTCAGGTATGAAGAAGAAGTTGCACTTCGGGCCACAGCAGAGAACCAGTTTGTGGCTCTAAAGAAGGTAAGTGCCTGAAGCCAAGCTCCACCCTGAGTTCCCAGCTACCCGATCCTCTCTGCCCTGCATCATGGCAGCCAAGCCCTCAGAGCTTCCTGAGGATAGCTGGCCATACAGACCTTTGACCCCCACACAGGATGTGGACTGTGCCTACCTCCGCAGATCAGACCTGGAGGCCAACGTGGAGGCTCTGACCCAGGAGATCGACTTCCTACGGCGACTATATGAGGAGGTAAGGGCGTCTCAGCCTGACCTTTGCCCAGACTCCTCAAGCCAGCTAGTGTGGGAAACCAGGCTCAAGGCTAGAGGGTTGGAAAGGAGCAAGAAGAGAGACGGAAGGTAGAGGAATGGAAAACCATAAGGAACAGAATTAGTAAAGGGCAAGAGAGGGCAGTTACTAGGACAGAGAGCCGTGCCTTAGGAACCCAAAACAGAGGCCTGAGAAGCATCACGCAGCTTCACTCCCATGCTCTCTGGCCCAGATTTTCTCTGGCAGCCAATAGCCATCCCCTATGTGGTAGGTCCAAGAGAACGTGACATGGCCCCAACACAGAGTCTGGTCCCTGAGGAAGCATCCACAGCAAGCTGGCTGGAGGGAAGCTTTCTAGGCTCACATGGGCCTAAACAATCCCAGAATCAAGCATTTGAGAAGTAGTTGCATTTTCTTCTAAAAGATATTTCTTATCTAGACAGAAAGTTATGCAAGTTCATCAGAGATTTTCTCTATGAACAAGAGACTTTAGCTCTGAATGGGCCAAAGATGATAAGCATCAGCCTCAGCAGGTGAGGAAAATCTCAGATAACTTGATTGTTCTTCTTCTACCCCCATTCCCACCCCACAGGAGATCCGTGTCCTCCACGCCCACATCTCAGACACCTCAGTCGTCGTCAAGATGGACAACAGCCGGGACCTGAACATGGACTGCATCATTGCTGAGATCAAGGCTCAGTACGATGACATCGCCAGCCGCAGTCGTGCTGAGGCTGAGTCCTGGTACCGCAGCAAGGTGAGTGGCACAGGACACCTGCCTCCTAGACGTGGTCGTGATACAAGGTATATATTAGAAAAGTTTCTTTTATCTGGGGGTCCTGATCCTTAGGGATGGTAACAGAGGGCAGACAGCTCTCAGGTTGAGGTGGCAGAACGGGGCTGCCACGGCTGGTTGCACAGGCCAAACACTGTACAACCTGCACTATCATCCCTGGCATACTTATTGGCTGGCATGTCCCATCCTGAGCCTCAGGAGCATCTGTGCTTCCCCGCAGTGTGAGGAGATGAAGGCCACGGTGATCCGGCACGGGGAGACCCTACGCCGCACCAAGGAGGAGATCAATGAGGATCCAGAGGCTGACCGCCGAGGTCGAGAATGCCAAGTGCCAGGTACGGGTCACCTGTGGCCTAGACACCAGAGAGGCTGGGGGCCTCGCCAGGGTCCCATGGGCAATGTCTGCCCAATGTGGATCTCAGCATTCATTCTCCAGCCCATTTGCATGACTAGAGTTGCGGGTTGTGGTCACTCAGGGAGACCCAGGTGATGGAGTGACAGGCCTGTTCCTGGGTGTTCCCAGCTGGCTGGGAGAGCCTGGACACACTCAGGAAATGAACAGAGAGACCCAGAGACATAACCCACCTTATTCTCTTCTGGATCGCCAGAACACCAAGCTGGAGGCTGCAGTAACCCAGTCTGAGCAGCAGGGCGAGACGGCCATCAGCGACGCACGCTGCAAGCTGGCGGAGCTGGAGGCCGCCCTGCAGAAGGCCAAGCAGGACATGGCCTGCCTGCTCAGGGAGTACCAGGAGGTGATGAACTCCAAGCTGGGCCTGGACATCGAGATCGCCACCTACAGGCGCCTGCTGGAGGGCGAGGAGCAGAGGTGAGGCCCAACTCAGCTTCTCTAAGAAATCCACTTTCATAGATCTGCCCACCTTTGATTCCTCCCTATTTCAGTCTCAGTCCCAAGAACTGGCCCCAAACTAGATTCTGGGGTCTTTGGATCCTAGATCTCAAAGGCCTGGAACTTGGGCATAGCACATAGAGGAAAACAAAGACCAGAGCCACTGTCTAGAGTCACTTTCTAGGGTTAGAACCTAGGCACCCTGCCTCTCAGTTCAGAACATCAAGTTATTTCATCCTCAACTCTTCCAAGATCCACTCCCTCCCTGGTTTCTAAGCAGTCACTTGCCCTAGGGTGGAGCTGCTGGCCAAACTTAACCTGGCCTCATGTCACTGCCCAACAGAACATTCTCCTTCCTAAAACCGAACTCATATACATATGCCAGGTATGGTTTTTCAGACTGGGCACTGCACAAAGATATAGTCAGCTGAGGGGCAAGTGAGAGTTGACATCCAGCCTGTACTCTGCTTGCCAAATAGTGTGCTCTGCCAGAAAGGTACTTTTTAAAGTTCCACAAAGGCATAAATATAGACCAGAAATAGCCCTAACGGGACCCATTCCAGCCCTTGAGGAAATCTGAGGACCTCATTCTGATCTCTTTTCTCTTCCCCTTTCTCACCTTTCCCCTACTTAGGCTATGTGAAGGCATTGGAGCTGTGAATGTCTGTAAGTATCTTAAGTCCTGAAAAGGAAAATTTTAGGTTGGACAACAAGAATTTCCTAGATATGAGTATACAGAGACACTGGGAAGAGTGTGGCCAATAATTCCTCCCTGATAAATAGGAGGGGGTTGGTTATGGAGCAGGAGAAACTAAGGTTAACTTGCAGGAAGAACCTCACAGCATGAATGGGGTTGGGAGGGAAAGAATAATAATATGTCACTGCAGTACAGGGCTTTAGGTATCACTCACTATGACCTCCACCTTGTATAGGTGTGGAAGCCCAGAAAAAGAAAGGGACTTAACTAAGATCGCAAATGCAGAACCAGGGCCAGAACCCAGGGCTCCTGGCTCCAGGCTCAGGTTCCTTCCACACCTTCAGAACTAGAACTGAAAGTTCTTTGAGTCCTTCCCTAGAAGGCTGGACAGATCACAGAAGCCAAAGGAAGGTGGCTAGGTGGAGTGATCACCAGCCAGGCCTCCTGACCCAGCCCTCCTTCTCGCAGGTGTCAGCAGCTCGCGGGGCGGGGTTGTCTGTGGGGACCTCTGCGTGTCTGGCTCCCGGCCGGTGGTAGGCAACGCCTGCAGCGCCCCCTGCAGTGGGAACCTGGCGGTGAGCACCGGAATGTGCGCCCCCTGCTGCCAGCTCAACACCACCTGTGGAACGGGGTCCTGCGGCCTAGGGAGGTGTTAGAGCCAGAGAAACCCCTTTTGCCTGCCAAGTGTCACTACCTCCGCCCCCGCTGAGAACAGCGGCGCCTCCATAGCTCTTCCCCCTATGTTCTGAGAATACATTACTCAGCTCGTTCCCATCAGCCCAATCCTCTATGCATCTTGTCCAACCAGAGGGGGTTGCTGCCTGGAATGGACCCTTCCATTCCGCCGGCTTCCCTGGGCTCTCCTTCCCCGGAAGGAGCACTGCTGGACTGCCTCTCCTGCCTCTGGCCCCTTGCCTACATTTTTCCAATAAACTGGGGGACCCGCTTTCTGTGCTATGATGTCTTGCTTTCTCAGACTAAGCCCAGCTAGTGAGCACCCTCAGCTCAGCGAGATGACCTGAGCATAGGGTCATTCTGGCCTGTGTTCAACCTGGATACCCACAGAACCTAACCCCAAATAGTGCCATCCTCCCCTGGCCAGGTAGTGCTGACTGTGCTCACAGCACTTCCACCCGAGTCACATCGGTCAGTCTAGGGTAGTATGAAACTTTTTCCTCTGACCGGTTCTAAAGGGAACCACAGGAAGCCATGGAATCTTCTGGAAGGCTGCTTGTGTGTGTGTGCGTGCGTGTGTGTGTGTGTGTGCACGCGCGCGTGTTTGATTTTAGCCCCCCTCTCCCCCACACTCCCCTCCCACCACCACCACACATATGCACCACAACAGCAACCTCCAGAACTGCCAACACCCACCTCAGTTGGCTACCCTGTATCAGTATGGGTCCCACACCACCCCATTCCCACTGCTGCCCATCAAACAAGGGAAGATGAGACCCTTGACACAAAAAAAACCCCGCCCACCGCTCCACTGCAAGACACACATGTCTTCAGCACCCAGAACAGTCTCCTCAAAAACCCTTAGCTGGTAAGAGGATACCATCTACTCACCGCTTTCTCGACTGCTCCACTCACTGCCCTCATCCCCAGATTCCTCAAAGCTTCAATCTCAAGGCTAAGATTGGCTCCTCTGTGTTCCGCATGGCCTGACCTTTCCTGTGTTCTGTTCAGGAAGAGGCTAGGAGGTCCTGAGAGGAAGACTTGAGAAGCTCTTAACCTTCCTCTGGAAGAACCAGGGCTAGAATAGCCCTCCTCAGGCCCTAACCCCCTTCCTGTGCAGTCCATTTCTTCCTCACTGACCCTCTTCTTTCCTTCCTTTGCCCAGCCCCACCTCAGCCCCAGTGCTGACCACCCTTCCCCCAGGCCCTGACCTTTCTACCCATGTCACCATGCTGTCCCAGGAGGACCCACCACCTTCCCTCGCTCTCTCCTGAAATCTCTACAGTCCTCTCAGCTCCTCACCCAAGCCTCCTCTGCCCCCTGTTGCTCTTTCTCCCTCCCACTTCCCAAGTCCGGAGTCTCTGGCCTTTCATTCCTTGTTGGGTAAGCCAGGCTCCCAGTTCCCCCCAGGAAGTCCTGCTCCCCGGCTCACATCCCTCACCCAGAAAACCCTGCCCTCAAATGTGAAAGTACTTCATTGCTCTTCTCTCGCCTTTCTGCACCTGTTCCCTGGGCAATCATATCAGTCTCTTGCCTCCAGTCACCATCGTGGTAGTGTTCTCCCTGGTTAAAATAGTCCAACTGTGCTTCAGAGTCCTGCTGACTCTCCCCCTTCCTTGACCTCACTCCTCAGCTTCAGATCCACTTGCCCCAGTTTCTACAAGACATCTCCACTTGGCAGTCCTAGAGACCCTTTCAACCCAACAGACCTTCAAGCTGAACTCACCT